TGATCTGGCCACCGTTGTGGTCTAGCGCATCTGCCAAACGGCCGTTTCAGGTTCCAGCCACAGAAACTAATGCGTTTCTGTCCATCAGAATACTGGTAGGCAATTGCATGCTTTCTAAATTCTCATTTCGAGGTAAACCTTAGCCTCATCAGTAACCTAGCACATCGTCTTTCAGATAATAACCTGCCTGAGGGAACTTCATCGAAAATATATGACTACCTAACAGGCTCGTAATCGTTTTCATTAGGGTGTCTTTATAAGCTTATTGGCTCATAAAACTGCAGATCCCGGTTCGCCTCTGAGACGGCCGATCACAGGTGTGGCAGGCTGCACCAACGCTTAACTTCTTGCGACTACTTGCAAGTGCTCAACCACCAATGCCCACCTACCCCAATCCGGTGTGGCCAATTATCTACATGTGGCTCACTCATACAAAGGCCACGCTATAGACTCTGTGATGACTGCCAAGTTATCGCACCGTGGATTCCGTCTCTCTCGGGTGTGGACACATGCTCATCTGACACTCAAGTTCCTCCAAATTATCCTCCATTACCTCTTCATACAATACACTATTTCTCCCCTCTAACGTCTCACTAATTCTCTTCCCACACGGAACCCGGTCTGAAGTTCGCAGCGGCAAGGGTTTTCTCTATCAATCTAAGCCACTGCGACAAAACACTAAGTTTATAATAACATTTTGATGACCATTTTATTTCCCCTCCATCAGCCAACCTCACTGCCTTACTACATTGAGCTGTCTAGGCAGTTGCCGACATAAATTGACAGGCGCCCGTACATGAAGCTGCCGGTTGACGCTGACGAAGGTACAGCGTTAATTAAGTTCGGTGCATATCAGAAATGCCCGATGTCATGCGGTTTGTTCAATAGTTATACTGACGCATCCTAAGGGAGCTGAACAAAACTGGCGTACTTCACATACCGAACAGTAAGATCATGACTTCTGTATCTGTACTGCAGGTATTATTCATCAGGAAATTATGATGGGATTCATTTTTCGATCCTCAATTAACAGGTGGAAGCAGGTTTCTACGATCTGACGTTCCCAAACTTTGACCGAGCTCATTACTTACCGCTAAAGTTGAGCTGATGCCTGCATTGTTCGGAAATGGATTGCCGCAGACGGATTCGGCGTCCTCCTTCAGAGTCTGAACCTCTCTGTCGCGCAAGACCCTCTCCACTTCGGTCTGTGTTGCCGAGAACTGGGTGCCCCTGGAACTACGAGAACGGCTAAGCTCAGGCGGCTGTGAGTAGTGTCTATCAAAGAAGCCCGAAGACATCCACAGATTCCTAGGCGCAGGAGAATCATTCCTTGGGTCCTCCAGACTGTCAGTTGGTGAGGACATTAGGGTGGAACTGGAACCCAGCTCGTCGTCTTCATCGATACCTAATGTCTCGGAGTGCTTCAACAGTTGGTTCAAGTTGAGCAACGAACTACCGTGAAGAAGCTCACGGATGCTGGCTGTCGCGTTAGTTCCACAAACGGCCTGAGGACTGAACGGTTTTTCTGTCTTTTGTAGCTCTGATAAGGGGACTACGCCATCGCCTCGGAAGGCAAATATGTCTGGTATGGTTCCTCTGTTGTCAAAGGCACATCGGGAGGGGTGGTAACTGGAACGATAGCAAAAGTAGTCAGGTTCGAAGCCACGACCGGTGTGTTGAACATAAGGTCTTTCTACATTTGAGGACTCGTTACGTCCACTGTGGGATCTGGAAGTATCGACGTCAGTGAAGATAGGACTTTTTGGCAGAGGCAGAGAGGAAAATTCCGGAAACTTTCGGCATGAAAGGGAGAGAAAATCGTCTGGGGGCGGAGGAAAAAAGGATGCATCCTGCAAGGCAGTTCTTCCAGGTATGGCCGGATATTCCACTTCGTTCGTTACGTCTCCTGCAAAGACGGATTCACCACAACAAATACTCTCCCTTATTTGCTTCATCTGCTCGAGAGTGCTGATTCTATAGGGATTGGTCGATGGGTTTCGGATATTAAGTTTGATCTCCGTAATAAACCGCTGTGGAGCCGATTTCTTGGAATACTGTTTGCAATTATAGTCATTATTCAGACTGCGGAAATTTCCAGTTCGTCCGTCCAGAGATCGATTAATACTCCCAGAGCCAACTGGTGGGTTTGACATGCGCTCCAGAGCAGTATGCGCGATGATCGTTGATCCGACAGCATTTGTGTTTGATCCAGAGGCCAAATTTGCAGTGACTTTCGGTGTAATGCTACATCGCTGGTTCATATACCTATCCACAGGCAACGTGATCATCTCCCCCCGCGCCACTCTTTCACCCACTCTCTCGCTGCAGAGCACCCTTTCTGAACAATGAAACTCAATTGACTTATGAATTAGTCCACTGCTTGCCCAACGAGAGGAATTGTTGGACTGCTGAAC